CGTGCTCGAGACTGCGACCACCAAGGGTCTCAGGCCCACGCCTGGGGCCTGCGGCCATCATACCCCCTGTGCGTCGTGGGTGCGCTGAACTCTCTCTTGACCAATTTTCAGAGGCTACAAAATAGGTACCTTTTTCCTCTGTAGGCTACGACTCTGCAGATGCTTGTAGGATAAGGTGATTTTGCGTAACTTCGACATTCTGGCCGTCTAAGATAACTGAACTGGCTTTCACCTAACCCCTAAGGCCATTCCTTAGGTTCTCACTGATATGCCTTACTAACTGGTTGCCCTTTATTTGAAGTCCAGAATCCCGTACTTTTTCGATGAGCCACGTCCCAATAGTGGCAATAACAGAAATTTCAATTGTAGTGAAAATGCGATTCCCAGGTGACATCAAAAGAAGATGAGGCGTTCACCAGAAGAGGTCTAATGAAGGTCTGACGTTCCGAGTAGCTGCTTCGTCTACGCATATTCAGAGACTGGGAAGTCATGCACACAGCTATCCTTATTAGTCGCACTTTGTTTGATTCATGCCCGCTAATCTCCGGATTCATTACCGAGGGGATTCTGTAAAAACTCGAGAGGCGACTGTTCGAGGAGTACAAATTCAAGTTTTGGGCGCGCTACGTTGATGGTACCTTTGTAATCATCGATCAGGGTAAAATTAACTACCATAGGGAGCTACTGAACTCAATCATTCCCGATCTATAGTTCACAATGGAAGAGGACGCGAAGGAGAAACTCCCATTCTCGGATGTTCTCGTCTGCCGTCAACCAGACAGAAAACTGGCAACGTCAGCCTACAGAAAGCCGACGAACACCCTGCAAATGCTCAGTTACAACAGCAACCACTCACTGCAACACAAACGAAGCTGTGTGCGCACGCTATACCGACGGGTGGAAACTCATTGCGGCACGCCAGCCGCCAACATGGTCAGCCAAAATCGCGGCGAAGCATTCCGTCTGCGAAGCTGTGACTAGATCCATCGCCCCGCTCGGTATAGGCGTTGTCCACAGGCCCGACCCAACAATTCGCCGGCAAGTGATGCGGCCAAAAGACCCGATCCCTAAGCAGGAGATATCGGCCGTTGTCTACCGACTTCAATGCAGCTGCGGGAAGCGCAACCACGTTGGGGAAATTGGCCATCGGCTGCAAGGAATGCATGAGCATAAGTTGACCGTGCCAAGGTTGAACCAAAATTCGGAGGTAGCTACCCATGCCGTGCAAATGAGACCCATCTTCAACTTTGAGGCCGTTGAGATTGTGGGCCGGGACGATGATCATACGGCAAGGTAGGTGCAAGGAGCCTGGAGGTCCATCGACCGCTCTGTCAACCGCCGCATTAATTTGCCTCCCCCTGTCCGTATTTACGAATCTTCTTAACGGGAGACAGTCACGGCGCGGGACAATCGGGGCCGTCAACTATCGCCGCGGCCGACGAGGGCGGGGACGATTAAGGTCACGGTGACATGCGAGTCGGACGCAGCCACACAGGCGGCATTGACAGGCCACGCATCAGAATGCGCCATGTGAGGGGAGCTGTGCGCACGACTTCCCAGTCTCTGATGGGGAGACGAAGCAAGTACTCGGAACGTCAGACCAATAGACCTCTCCCGGCGAACG